GAGGCTTTGAAGGTGATTTACTCTAGAGGATCCAAGCCATCAGCACGCATTGAAGGCTGGGTGTTGCGGTTGCAACCATATAGTTACAAGGTATGCTGCGTCGCATCACGAGAAAATATTGCTGATGCCCTGTCACGCCTGACAACGCTCCAAGCGTCAGAGAAATGTCGTTATGACGATGAACATGTTCGGATGGTTGCTCTTAAAGCAGTCCCCGTAGCCATTAAGATCCAGGAGATAGAGAGTGCTTCTGCAGAGGATGAAGAGTTACAAGCAGTGCGTAATTGCCTTGTTAGTGGAAATTGGGAGAAGGGCCCACGGTCATTTATGATGGTGCGCAAAGAATTGACGTTCATTGGTCAAGTTATACTACGTGGAAGACGAATTGTGATACCCAAAGTGCTGAGATTAAGGGTTTTGGAACTTGCACACGAAGGTCACCAGGGAATCGTCAAAATGAAGGAGAGACTTAGGTCTAAAGTGTGGTGGCCAGGAGTTGATAAGGCTGTGGAACGGAAGTGCGGGAATGTTAAGGGTGCCAACTTGTCACAAAGGAGACAATTACTCCGCGTGTGAAAATAACCAGGATGCCAGAGAGGCCATGGCATGATCTAGCACTGGACTTACTTGGGCCCATGCCAACAGGAGAATATCTGCTGGTCTTAGTGGATTACTTCAGCCGATGGGTGGAAGTTGACATCATTAAATCTACCACTTCTGAGACGATCATCAAGTGTTTAGATAAACAGTTCTCCAGATATGGGTACCAAATACCCTGAGAACGGACAACGGAACCAACCTAGTGTCCGCAGAAATGGAAGAATACTGAATGAAATGGGCATCGATCATAGATTGACCACACCACTGTGGCCTAGGGCGAATGGGGAAGTCGAAAGACAAAATCGTTCCCTTTTGAAAACAATGAGAGCGGCCCATGCTTAGAAGAGAGACTGGAGACTAGAGTTGAATAAGTATCTTCTGGCCTACCGTTCCACCCCGCATGTAACAGCTGGCCAGAGCCCAGTAGAACTGTTACTTGGGAGGAAATTGTCTACTAAGTTGCCAGAGGTTGCTGATCTAGAAGAATCTGAGGACCTGGGATATCAGCAGGCCAGAGATCGCGATGCAGAAAAAAAGCAGGTTGGGGCTGACCATGCCGACAAGAGGCATCAGGCAGCAGAGAAATGCATACAAAAAGGAGATTTTGTGTTACTGGAGAAGAGGAAGGAGAATAAATTATCACCACATTACTAGAAAGAGCCATACCAGGGGATAGCATGTCATGGCGATCAAGTCCAGTTAAAGTCACCTCAAGGCGTGCAATACAAGCGAAACATTCAGCATGTCAAGCAGTTTGTTACACCAGCTACAGAGCCAAAGGGACCGAGCGCTGCAGAGCCTGCAGAAGTATCTTGTGAACAAGGGTGTGGACAAGGACTCACACCCAGCCCAGAGATGGGAGCCAGTGCATGGCCAGTGGAGGACCAGAGCCCTATCCAGCCACAGCTGTTACCAAGGAGATCAGGGAGAGTCACCCGACCTCCTGAGAGACTCAGTGACTATGTCACCACCTGATGGTGGTTATGGTTTTCAAGTGACACTGACTTTGATCGTATTGTAC